TTTCACTTTATAATTACACATTTAGAAATGTAGCATTCGGGAAATATGCTTAATTTCTTGCAATATAATAAGTGGAGAAAAATGACTAGATATAGTGTATCAGTGCTGGAAAAAAAATAGATGCTTCGGGGCTGGAGCGACAGCACAGCGGGTGGGGCGTTTGCCTTACACAAGGCTGACCCGGGTTCAATTCCCAGCATCCCATATGGTCCCCCAAGCACCGCCAGGAGTGATTCCTGAGTACAGAGCCAGGAGTAACCCCTGTGCATCTCCGGGTGTGACCCGAAAAAAAAATAGATTCTTAAAGATTGAGAAAATATGCTAATTAGTTAAGATAATTGAGTAATTAAAAAATTGGTGACTTAAATTTTCTATACTTTGCTCCATTTTCTAGGTCTTATAAAAATATTTTTTTAAAATAAGAGATAATAGTTCTTAAGAGTTTTCTTTTAAGGAAGAAATAGATTTAGGAGGAGGTAGATACACAAAGTATTTGGTGAAAAATTAAAAAAGTATTTGGAAAAAACTTAAGTTAGCACCATAAGTTGGAAGTCTTTAGAGCTTTTCCATCTTGAAGGACCAAGATCTTGTCCCACTTTTTTTCCTGGATGAGGATGGTAGTGATCCTGGTATTAGGCAACATTGCAGTCTAGGCTCTTGAGCTACTTGACTTTTTGATTCCATAAGGTTTGTCTAAACAGATGACTGAATTCATTCTGTATGATCATGTGTGATAGGGCAGATATTATGTAGTTCCTTAACTCTGAAGCTGAATTCACTCTTTGTTAGTCACAGCATTATTTTATCTTAGAAACAAGCCCAGGAGAATTGGTCCACTGAGAAAATCAATGCTTTTCTTTTTTTTACAAGCATGCTTAGTTCTCTCTTTATTTCTTTCTTTCATTCTTTCTTTCTTTTTTTCTTAGAACAGATTTTATTTGGAGGTTTTTGAAGGTGAGGGAGGGAGACAGAGAGAGAGAGAGAGGAAGGGAGGGAAGGAGGGAGTGGGGGGAGAGAGAGAGAGAGAGAGAGCGCATAAAATGCACTCTGGAGAATGTGGACTTCTCCAAGGGTGGAGAGAGCACCCCTACACACACCCCAGCATTAGTTTGGACAGTACACATCTGAAGAGGGGAGATGTGGGCAATACATGTGCTTGACCACATGGGCACAAGCAGCATATGGGCTTGGGCAGCATATGTGCTGCTCAGTTCTTTTCTAGGTGGTTTCTCGGTCCTGTCATTTATCATGTAATAGAACCTGATTACAGTTCCTGTATTTGGCACTCTCCTGTTTGCTGTAAAAATTATAAGATAAACACTATGCTTAGTTTTTCTTAAACAGAACCTCTGAAATAGTCCTCATTTCAACATAAAGTGATGCTTCCTGCCTTAAATTTAGAAGCCACAACAAATAAGATTTAGTGACTCAGAAACATACAGTATTTTATTAATTGAATGTATTAATTGTTTGCTTGATTATTCATTTTGCCTAGTTTTTGTAGGAAGACTGTTTGTAAAATTGACGTGAATGAGTCACTCAAGATGAAAACACTGAGGTTAAAAAAAAAATTATTCCTAGCCAACTGAGTGTATGCTTTTCATGTGGAAGGCCTAGAAGATCTCTAGCAACACATGATCCCCTGAGTATCACTGGAAGTGATCTCTACTACACCCAAACACAGAGCCAAGTAGACCCTGAGCAACATGTATGCGCTCCAAATCAAACAAACAAAATTATCCCTCTGTGTGGCTGTGGTTACCTCTGAGTGGTAGAGCACAGATTGTATATGATGGCCTGGATTTGTTCCTCAATACCACTATTTAAAAAAAAAAATCCTTTTAACCAAGAGGAAAATGAAATAATCCTATAATTATTACTCTTATCAGCTTTATATATCAGAAAAAGTAGGCACTACATTTCCCCAACTCAACATTGTGAGTGTGTATAGTTTACATTTGCTTGCTTTATTGATGCTTTTATAGTCATTGATATATATTATTTTTGCTTTTTGGGTCATACCGGCAATGCTCGGGGGTTACTCCTGACTGCACACAAGAATTACTCCCTGCAGTGCTCTGGGGACTATATGGGATACTGGAGATGGAACCCAGGTTGCCACAAGCTAGGCAAATTCCTTCCCCCCTGTACTGTTGCTCCAGCTCCAGCTCCTAGCTAAAAAGATTACGAACAAGTACACCCTTTCCCCATTTCTCAGAACCAGGATTGAAACAATTATTAATGTACCTCACTGATTTCATGCTCTATTTTGCATCATGACAAATGGAAAGTGACACATGAAGCATGCTCACTTTGTTAATTTTATTCATAGAAGCAAGCTGTTGTCTGTATGGCAAGTTCTGGAGTTATAACACCAATAATGGCCTCGGAGCTGAGCAGTATTAGATCTCTTTCCATCCACTGCATGTTCTTTCTGGTGTGTTTATGAATAATGAAGACAAAAAAGGGGGGCAAGGATGTGACTCAAATGGTAGAGTATTCACCTACGTATGCAATGCCTTGAGTTTGATCACTGGCATTGCATGACCTCCCCAAGCACTGATCATCATAGCCCCTGTTAAAAAACAAGGGGCTAGAGGGATAATACAGATGGTAAAGCACATGCCTTTCTTGCACCTGACCCAGGTTTGATCCTTGTCATCTCATATGGTCCCCGAGCACCACCAGGAGTAATTCCTGAGTGCAGAGCCAGAAGTGACCCCTCAGCATTGCTGGAAGTGACCCAAAAACTTAAAAACAAAGTAAAAAGGAGAGAAGAAAACGAGGACTCAGAGTTATCATCTCATAATTAACCTAGAGTCTAAATTACCAGTTCTTCTGCATTGTGGCTTCTGCATTGAATGAATGTAGAATTCTGTCTATAAAACTTTTAAAATATTATTTTGGGCAGGGATGTAGTTCAGCTATGATGGTAGGCCTCTGTTTGTGAGGCTCCAGATTTTGTCCTTGTCCAGATTTTGTCCTTAGTCCTTGTCCTTAGTCTGGGGAGAATTTTTTTTAATTAAATAAAGTGTGAGTGTGTGTGTATGTATATATATATACACACACATGTATACACTGTATGCGTGTATATCTATACACACATACACACACACACACATATATGTATATGTATATGTATATGTATATATATATATACACATATTCTGGGGGACCAAACCTGGTGGTTCTTAGGAGCTTCTCCCAGTTCTGTACTCTGGAGATTGCTACTGACTCTGCTTGTGGGGGGCAGGGGGGGATGAGAGGAACCTTCTGGTGCCAGAAATTGAACCGGGGTCATCTGTATATAAGGCAAGTGCCTTAATTCCTGATTATCTCTCTAGCTTCCCCTTCATTTTTTGTTTTTGGTTTGGATTATAGTCTATCTTTAGTGTTGTTTTAAAGAATGTTTTACATCTCACCACCTATTTGACTACTTATTCTGAACAATATGTGACTGGGTTTAGTTTAGTATGAATCCTGCTAACCTGACTTCTTTTTGCAGACAAAACTTACCTGGGGCCCCTACTTATGGTTTTACATGCTTCGGGCTGCCACCTCAACCCTCTCAGGTATTGCTTTTCCCTTTGAATATTTATAGCTGCTATAATATGCTTCAGGATCAGAAACTTTGTCTAATGTGGGTGTTTCCAACATGAAGAAATTAATCACTCTGTTCTCAATCTCTAGCTACCATTCTCTAATATTCTTCAGGTTGTTGTGTCCCCCCCACCCCTGCCCCCCTACCCAGGAATGAAAAATGTTAGATAGTATTTTCCTGTTCTTGAACCTTCTCTGTTAGTGTACATTTTTCCATTTTTCTGTTTAATTCTCTATTTTCTCATCCTGTCTAGTTACTTTGAAGCCTGTAGTTACAATTTATACATATTTTAGTTTTATTAATGTTTCACTTAAATTTAGACATCATGTTATACTTGAAGGAAGTTAATTATCTTGACTTGATTGCACTAACTTTAGTTTTTGAATCATAAAGATTTCCTCTCTTCCAGTATTAACTGCCTTACAGCTCCTGTCTGTCACTTTCTGCTTTCTATTCAAGCTTTTTAAAATAAAAATTACACACAGATATTTATCAAGTACTCACTATGCCAGATTGTCTGAGTGATAGTACAGAATTTGGGGGCTGGAGTGATAGTATAGCAGGTACGGCATTTGCCTTGCCCATGGCATACCTGAGTTTGTTTGCCAGCACCCCATATAGCCTCCTGAACCAGGAGTAATTCCTGAACGCAGAGTAAATAAAGTAAGTAAAGGCCCTCCCGTTGATCATCGATTTGCTCGAGCGGGCCCAGTAACATCTCCATTGGAGACTTTGTTGTTACTGTGTTTGGCATATCGAATACGTCAAGGGTAGCTTGCCAGGCTCTGCCGTGCGGGCGAGATACTCTCGGTAGCTTGCCGGGCTCTCCGAGAGGGACAGAGGAATCGAACTCGGGTCGGCCATGTTGGCTGCGTGCAAGGCAAACGCCCTACCGCTGTGCTATCGAGTAAGGAGTTAAATATTGCTGGGGTGGTCCAAAAAAGAAAAAAAAATCACAAGTTTTATTTTTAGACTTGGATTTGCTTTGGCAGGTACTAAGTGAGTACTGTAGTATGCTCTCTGCTGGATCTCCTTTCCAGCATAAGGATATCCCAACCTTCCAAGAATGCTAAAAGTGTGCATGTTTCTTGGAGAAACACACATGTCACAGAACATTATTATACATGATAATTATTATTACAAGAGGTAATAACAGTGTTGTTGGGAATCCAGAAAGGGAATCATTAGTACTTCTGGGGAAACTGAATACAAATGAGTAATACAAATGAGAAATACTGAGAATATATTCATGATCTCCCTGAAGGCACAGAATAGAGTATTTATATCCCAACAGTACCTTGTAGGAGAATAGAGTATTTATATCCCAACAGTACCTTGTAGGAATTGTTTAAGCTTTGATTTTAGAATTGTGTGAGTTATTTAACTTTTGTGTCTCTAGTGTGTGACTTTCTTGGAGAGAAGATTGCATCTGTTTTGGGCATCAGCACCCCAAAATACCAGTATGCCATTGATGAGTATTACCGGATGAAGAAGGAGGTGTGTCTCCTTTTTACATTTTTTTGATTCATTTGGTTATTCTGGACTTGATGGGTGGCATACTGATCACATGTATCCTCTAATTACCATAGCTCAGAAAGGCATGGTATTGTAGAGTCATTCATTCATCAAACTAGCATATATTTCAGAAATTTTTAATTTTAATACTTCCCTATAATCTGTGTATGAAACGAAACTAGATTTCATTGTGTTTAGCTGTGTGATTTGTCGTATGAACATTATATTTAATCTTCACATACCTCTCTGAATTATTATTCAAATTTTAAGATAAATAAAAACTAATCTCAGTACTTAAGAGATATATACTAGATGAATAAGAGAATGACTGCATAGAGAATTATAAGGTTGGGGATATGACAGTGGCAGAGTAAATGCTGTGCATGTCTGAGGCCCTGGGTTCAATCCCTTAGTACTAAGAATTTATAAGACATATAATGTAACACTTGCCTTCAGTTGTACAAAGGTCCTAATGTCGAGTGACATCAATTTTTCTTTTGTTTGCTGTGGAGTTTTTTTGTTTGTTTGGGGACCGCACCTTGGCAATTCTCAGGGGTTACTCCTGGCTTTGCACATGGGAATTACTCCTGTCAGTGTTCATGGGACCATATGGGATGCTGAGGATAAAACCGGGTCAGCCATGTGTAAGACAAATGCCCTACCTGCTATACTATCACTCCAGTCCCTCATTTTTGCTTTAATGAGAAAACTTTAGCATTGAAGAACATGATCTCAAGAACCAAAGGACCTGAATTCAGATTGTGGTTCCACATATTCTACCTTTGTAACCTTAGGCCCAGACACTTGAATTCATATACTTCAGTTTCTTCTTACTAATAAGGAATGCTATATTCAATACTGCTCTAAGCAATGGTCCTACTATATGTTAAGTATGTAAAATTCTTACATCAGTGGGACTAGAACAGTGGTACAGTGAATAAGGTTCTTGCCTTGTTTGTGGTCAATCAGGGTTCAATCTCCTGCATCCCATATGGTCTCCCAAGTACTGCAGTTAGTAATTTCTGAGTGTGGAGCCAGGAGTAATCCCTTACATTGCCTGGTGTGGCCCCAAAACAAAACAAAAAGCAAACAAAAGAATTCTTGACATCAGCTCATTAGCAAGTCTGAAATAACTATTAGACTTTTGTATTCTCCTTTGAGCAAATGAGGTGGGCAATTGAAATTGGAATGAAAGGGGCTGGAGAGATAGCACAGTGGGTAGGGCGTTTGCCTTGCACGCGGCCGACCCGGGTTTGATTCCCAGCATCCCATATGGTCCCCTGAGCACCACCAGGAGAAACTCCTGAGTGCAGAGCCAGGAGTAACACCTGTGCATTGCCGGGTGTGACCCAAAAAGCAAAAAAAAAAAAAAAAAAAAAAAATGGAATGAAAATAATGTTGAACTCTGAGGGAAACAGCAAGAATGTATACCCTGTTGTCACTGTTGTCTAGTACAGTGGAGAGTGACTGGAGATGAATCTTGAAAGGTCAGTTGTCTTTATATTTATTCTATGGTTTCAAAAATGTTTTAAGAACAAATGTACTACTCACCTTGTTTAGAACCTCCTTTGCTTTGTGTGAATGATTATAATAGCTTCCTAAATCATCTCTCCCTCATTCACTTTCAAGCAAGCTCTACGCACATCTCCCTGACAGGTTTCTCATTGGACTAACTCTCATCCAGGTTCAATACAATGCCACCTCCTCTGTACATGCAGTAGTTCTGGTACTAGAGATTATTCCTTCTGAATATCTAGAGTGCTTATTCATTTTTATTTCAATGTTTTTTTCATGTCCTAACTTCCTTCCTAAATTTACAGAGGGCTGGGACTGCCTTATTCGTATACTAAGTGCTTATAAAAACTAAAATCATGTTCATCATTAAGTGACTGGAACACCCTTGAAGTGATATACAGTATAAGATTAATTTTTCATTCAGGTTAAGTATAATCTAAAAAGATTTAGCACCTGTTGATTAAGCTTTAGCAGTGCTTTACCATGCTATTGTAAGATTACCTTTCTTTCCTTAAAATGGCATATAGTATTTTTCAAATACCACTTGGTAACAGGAGAAAGGTATGTTTCAGCTTAATCAGACCAAACTGAATTGAATGCAAGACTGTTTTAATTTTTCTTTTAAAAGGGTACAAAGTGGGGGATTAATTACTATTCCTTTTAGTCGTTTATATTTCAACTATCTTTGGTATTTCCTCTCTTAAGGAAGAAGAGGAAGAAGAAGAAAACAGGATGTCCGAAGAAGCAGAAAGACAATTTCAGCAGAATAAACTACAGGCTGATACCATTGTTCAGACAGATCAGCCAGAAACTGTGGTATCCAGTTCATTTGTGAATCTTAACTTTGAGATGGAGGGAGACTGTGAAGTAATTATGGAAAGCAAGCAAAACCCAGTCTCTGTCCCACCATAAAATCAGATGACTATAAAACTTTAAACACTAAGGGATTGTTTATACCAGAAACTTTTTGCATTCTTTATTCATTGGGACTTAATTCCGTGGGACTTAATACAGTTATTTATATTTTAAATTATTAAGTTGTCTAGAAAGGGAAAAATTCTTATTCTTATCCACTAGCAAAAGCTAGATATAAAATTTGGATATTTGTACTATGTATGCTTTTTACTATGTCTCAAATTAGTGCTTTGGTTTTAAATTGATCTTTTAAAAGTTTAAGGACATTTTAGAACCCTAACTGCCAATTAAAACAAATTATCACGTATCTGTAATTTGTATTTGTAAAGAAAACAAAAACATATTGCTGTTTAAGGCTAGTTGAAACTGATGTTTCTTGTTGCAGATGTAATTTTTCCCTCTAGATTTTGTCATGTCTACATTTATATATCTCACCATTCACTTCATACTAAGGACAGTTTACTGTGTGTGCAATAAAAAAGAGCAAGGATATAAGCACTGTGAATTTTCTTTCTTTGAGAATAACTATTTACACAAGGTGATTGAGGTCATAATACCAAATATTTAGCTGTGTTTCTTACATTTTTCAATATAAAAGTAAAGTTAAAGGCCCTCCCGTTGATCGTCGATTTGCTCGAGCGGGCCCAGTAACGTCTCCATTGGAGACTTTTGTTGTTACTGTGTTTGGCATATCGAATACTCTCGGTAGCTTGCCGGGCTCTCCGAGAGGGGTGGAGGAATCGAACTCGGGTCGGCCATGTTGGCCGCTTGTAAGGCGAACACCCTACCCGCTGTGCTATCGCTCCAGCGACAGTAAAGTTATTCAAATTATTCAATAAAGTTATTCAAATTAAATAACTAGGTTTGAACATATTTCAAAAAACAAGGTATGGATTTAGTAGTGTAATTGTATTCAAGTGTTGATAATCTAATGAGTACTCACATGGCATCCTAGATATGTCCTCATTCAATGCTGAATGTCTACCATAGGCTGAATAGTTCAGTGAATGAGCTTAGGGGAGAGGTGATGATAGCCTTCCAGAGCTCATTAATAAACACTGTAAAAAAGTATAATATTAGCATAAGGAAGTCACATGTCATTTAAAGTAGCAATTTTAAACAGGTTTCTTGACCCAGTATGTCTACTAACGAAAACTGTAAAAGTAATTTTGAAAATACTTCTAAATATGTATTCATACTCTAAATCTTACAGGGTATATGTATGAATTTGATTTATAATTTAGTGTGGGTAAGGAAGAATGTGTAGAATATTTCAGAAATGCAGATCTTAAAAATCTTATTCTCAGGGGCCACAGAAATAGTGCACAGGTACGGTGCACATGGCTGACCCAATTGATCCCTAGCACCACATATTGTTACCCGAGCATCACCAGGAGTGACGCCTGAGTAAAGCTGTGTTTGAATCCAAATCCTGATTCCCCCCACTCAAAAGAAAAATAGCCTTCTAAATAGCATTAAGCTTTTAGTCCTGAATATAACTATATATAAATATATTTGAGGCAAAGATTCTGCTCTACAACTTCCAAAAACCTCACAACATAAGTACAGTTGGCTTATTATGGAAAACTGTTATTAGTGAACATGAATATAAAGCTTGTCTAAATTCTTCAACTGAAATTTGAAGAATTTAGGAATGAGAATTGATTATTAAGGATATTCAGTTACCTGGAATTCATGAGATAGATTATTGGTATGTGATGATAATCTTTGTTCAGTCCTGGGTATAAACTATAAAGTTTAGTGTTTAGGACCAGAGCAATAGTACAGTGGGTAGGGTGTATTCTTTGCATGCTGCCAATCCAGGGTTAATTCCTGGGTGTCCCATATGGTCCTCCAAGCACTGTTAGAAGTGATTCCAGGGTGCAAAACCAGGAGTAACCCTTGCGCATCATCAGGGTTACAAAACAACAGTAAAAATCGTGTTAAAATTATTAATCTTCAAGTTTTTAAATGTCACCATAAATTACAATTTACATTAGCTCTAAAATATGCTAACCAGACATCTGTCTTGAATTTTGTTTGAGATAGTACCTTCAACTCAGATAGGAAATTGAAGTGAAGGCAAGCACATCTAAGGGTCCTCGGGACTGGTGATGTAGTTAAAGTGCCCTTCATGTGGGAGCACCTGGTTTTCATTCCTGACAGAGCACGTCCCCACTCCACCAAGTAAATAAAAATAAAGTATATTAATCTACTCTTTAGGGGTTCTAAAGTTTAAGATTTTACTAAGATACCCAGGGAGTGAGCTCACCAGCTTGAGCACAAGCTCTCTATGCAAGGCCGAGATTGAATCCCTGCTACCACATGGTCTCCTGAACGCTGCTGGGTATTACCCCAAAACAAAACAAAAAATAAAAGTTAATCTAGAAATGTTTCTAACTGCAGAAGATAATAACTTATGAAGGTTTTGCTTGGAATTTGACTTTTTCTCTTTGTCCAACAGTGGCCAGTTTGCTGTTTATGTATTCGTTGTGCCTTAAATTTTTATACTTCATGTAAATTATAAAACTCCCATGAATGCATTAAATCATTTTGTCTTTTTTAAGCCTCTTTCAGTTTTTCCCCCTGCCAAACCCTTTTTTCTGTCTCCACTTTCTCAAAGTTTATGTTATTCTACCTACCATCTTCTAATCTTCCGCCTCATAAAAACAAAGTATATTGAGGGGGGGCAAGGGAGGTAGACAAGCGGGCTGAACTCATGCTCTACATGCAGGAGCCCCAGGTTTGATTCCTGGCATCATGTGTTCCCCTAAACACATATGCTCTTGGGCTACTTCCCAAGAGTACAGCTGGATATAACCCCCAAACAAAAAAAATTAATATAAGACAGTTAATTTAAAGAATTGGAGCAAATGCTTTACATAAAATTTGTTTCAATCCCTGATGCCACCTAGTCCTTTGAACACTGTCATGAGTGACTCCTGGGCACCGAGCTGGTAATAGTCCCTGAGCACTATTAGGTATGTCTCCTCACAAATATCTCCCTCCCAACACACATCAAATGTTAGTACAGATATATTGTTCCAGGGAGACAGTATAGGAGATAAAGTGTTTTCCATGCTCACAATTGACCCTGGTTCAGTTCCTTGGAGCCACATGTAGTCCCCTGAACACTGCCAGGAGTGATGCCGCCCCCCCCCCCCCCCCCGAGCACCATTGGATGCTCAATTACCAGTACCACATACAACAGAAAGTATATTAAGAACCTGGAGCTGGAGCAATAGTGCAGCAGGTAGGGCGCTTGCCCTTGCATGCGGTTAACCCAGGTTTAATCTCCAGCATCCCATATGGTCTATCGAGAGTCACTAAGAATAATTCCTGAGCATAGAGATACCCCTGAGCATCACCAGGTATAGCCCTCAAGCCTTTACACAGAATTCTCAAAAAAATCCTTAGAATGGAGTTACTTTTGCAAAATGTAACCCTTGATACTAATCAATGACAAATATGTTCTACTAGTTGAAATACTAATTTGAAATAGTAACCTGAGGGGCCAGAGAAATAGTATTGAAGGAAAGGCATTTGCCCTCACACAGCTGACAATGGCACTCCTTATCCCCTGAGCTGCCAGGAGTGATACCTGAATGCAGGATCAGGAGGAAGCCCCGAGCACCTCCGGTATGGTCCCAAAACAAAAAAGTAAATAAAATATTAGGGGGGATATGATGTAGGCAGGTAGACAGGGAATGCCCTCTCCCGCAGCAATGACAAAAGCCAGCCCTGCAGAAAATAGGAAAACAGGAACTAAGGCTCTAGTGAATGGGAAAGTATAGAATCTGTGTGTGTGTGTGTGTGTGTGTGTGTGTGTGTGTGTGTGTGTGTGTGTGCATAAACTAAACTGAGGATCAGAAAAATTTAAAAACAGTATAATTTAAATTATGAAATAGTTATTTTAAATCTCTCTCTCTCTCTCTCTCTCTCTCTCTCTCTCTCTCAATCCTTTTAGGCATATGGTTTGCCATGCAGTGCAGGTACTGAAAGGTTATCATGTATATCACTTTACCTCCTTTCAGCATTCAGTTCTTAACCAAAGTGATCATCTCCAATTAACATTGTCATAGTGGTCTGTTCTCTGTCCTAACTACCATCCCTTTACCCCACCTAGCAAGCTTCCAGCTTCCAGCTTCCAACGGAAGGACCCTTCAGTCCTCCTGGCTCTTTGGATATAGTTTCATACTATTTCATACTATGTTTTTTTAAATATTGCACAAATGAATGCAATCAATCTATGTTCCTCTCCTACAGACTCACTTCACTCAGCATGATACTCTCCATTTCATGTATAAAAAGTACACTTCATGACTTCATTTTTCATGGTGGCTGCATAGTTTATTGTGTAGATGTACCACCATTTCTTTATCCAGTCATCTGTTCTCTGGCACTCAGTTTGTTTCCAGATTCTGGGTATTGTAAATAGTGCTGCAATGAACATGGGACATGTAGATCGATTTTCAGCATTGCGTTTGGGCCCCTAGGGTATATTCCCAGGAGTGGTATTACTAGGTCATATGGAAGCTCCATTTTTAGTATTAGGAAGAATGTCCATATTGTTTTCCAAAAAGGCCGAACCAGTCAGCATTCCCACCAACAATGAGTCAGAATCACTTTCTCCCTGCATCCACGCCAGCACTAGTTCTTGTTCTTTTTGATGTATGCTAGTCTCTTTGGAGTGAGATATCTCATTGTTTATGATTTGCATTTCCCTGATTGCAGAGCATTTTTCATATGCCTTTTGGTCATTTTAATTTCTTCTTTGAAGAAGTCTCTGCTCATTTCTTTTCCCTACTTTTCGATGGGACTGGATGTGTGTGTGTGTGTGTGTGTGTGTGTGTGTGTGTGTGTGTAAAGTTCTACTAGTACCTTATATATCTTTAATATCAACCCCTTATCAGATGGATGTTGAGTAATTTTTTCCCATTCCGTGGGCTGTCTTTATATTCTATTCACTATTTCCTTTAAGGTGCCACTGTTTTATGAAGGTTTATTGTTCCATATGAATTCCAGGTGTGTTTAATCTATTTCTTTGAAAAATGTCATTGGTATCCTTATAGGAACTGCATTGAATCTGTATGCTTTGGGGAATATTGCCATTTTGGTGATGGTAATCTTCCCAATCCATGAGCAGGGAATGTGTTTCCATTTTCTTATGTCCTCTTTTATTTCTTGAAGTAGTATTTTGTAGTTTTCTTTGCATAGATCCTTCACCTCTTTAGTTTACTTTGAGGTATTTGATTTTTTGAGGCTCAATTATAATGGGATTATTTAAATATCTTTCTTCTCTTTCATTATTTGTATATAGGACTTTTTATTATCTAGTTCTCGCACTTGGAGAACCTGGCAGGCTACCAAGAGTGTCCTGCCCACACGGCAGTCTAACAAGCTCCCCGTGGCCTATTCAATATGCCAAAACCCAGTAACAATGATGAGTCTCATTCCCCTGACCCTGAAAGAGCCTCCAATGTGGCACTTGCTAA